CAATGACTATGCTGTTCGCGTGTAAATGGATGTATTAATGGACGTAATTGTAATAAAATAATTGTTACAAAAGCCAATCGTAACCCAAATTACTGGAAAGATTAATGTTGTACAAACAAGCAAAAAGAAAGCTCGTATCTTGCCTCTATCCGAAAAAAATATCGTCGACCCAAACGAAAGCGAGACACACGAGATGCATTTGTCTTGATACACGAATCTCCGAAAAATGCCGCGATCTCAAATCCACTATTCTCTCGTCCGTAAGAGCAAAACGGATGGTCCGTCGAGACTCTAATTTTGAAAGCCGCTTTTGGCGCAGACCAAAGCTCTTCCACACATAGGCGCGCACAGACACGAAGCGAGATTCGTAAGGCGACCACCGCCGTCGACTCGCTGCACGATTAATATAACGCTGCTGCTCGTGACGTGACAAAAATCCCTGGGCTCTGCTATGTATTGCGCAGCTCGCACATACACGTACGCGAATGCGAGGGTATATTTGTATCGGCGTAATGTAATACATTTTTGCCAGGATACAGAGTGACCTAGTTGCCGATGTTTTGCGGGATTGCATGCGAAACGAGCGAATTTCTCTTTTCTTTGTGGCTTAGATCTCCTTTTCGCAATTCGCTGTGTGTTACGAATACATTTGTTTCCAGGAAGTTATTAAGTGTTATGGAACTGTTACAGCTGCTGTTATTGTTCCTCGGTTCAATTGCTCGTGTTGTAGTGGCGTCGATCGATACAGAATAAGAATGTCGTTTCCTCTTTTTTACAATTTCATCACAGGTTTATGATGTTCGATATACTTATGTGATACAATGAGAAGTTTCAATTGAATTTTCGATTAAAATGCTGAGTATACGTTCTCGATAAGAATTTACTCATGAGTCTAAGTGGAAAATATATTAATCGAAATGAACAAGGTATTTATAACTCATCAACAATTCATAGGTGGATTCACCTCGTGGCGTAAGAAAGGTAGAACTATTGAAATATTAAACCGATTCCAGAAATGTCGGAGAACAGATCTTTGTCATTAATAAGCTGTTTTCTGGGAAATCAATTGCATAACATCTTAATGTTCTCAACCGAAATATCAAATATCTGGAATATTTTGTGCTTTCAAGTAAATCCGTGTACCAAGAATACGTCGACCTATTATTTGTCAATATCAGAGAATCACCGAAGAATATAAGAAATCAGTCCACATCGAGGATCGAAGAAGGTATATCTCATTAGAATCGGTGTTTATCGGGCCGTAAAGCGAGAAGCAAAACGAAATTTAAAGCTCATTCGAGCTCCGATTGTTTCATAAATTCCACGCGGGAAAACACGCGCGTGCAGCAATAATACACTTCTGTATAAATCAGGAGTAGACTTCGGCACGTTCGAGGCTGGGGCATAAATAAAGCGGAGGCTGGAGGGGCTAAACAATCTCTCGCTTTCCTCTTGCGCACGAATTTCCACCTCTGGCCCCATAAATAATTCCCCGACAATTCGGTAATCGTTTGTACTATTGAGCAACTCTGCTTGCGCGCTCGCCTCTATTTTAGCCGCCTTGCACACCCGCACACTTCGCCGCTGCGCCACCCACGACCATTTTCGTTCTTTGCGAAACCGCGCGAAATAAATCCCAATTTCGTAGTGGTAGTTATAGCAGTGCTTTTCTCTCCGTGTACATATATGTGTGTGTATGTGCGTGTGCACATATATACACATACACACGCGTAAATCTCGCCCGTGTATTAGTGCTGAAATGTCAATAGATAGAGCATGCGGAAAACGGAGGAGAGAGAAACCGATAAGGGTAAATGGAAAAGAACTAAATGATGTTTTAATTGGCAATGACTGCAATTATCGGTTTTATCATATAATTTCCAGCGCTATAATTGGAAATTAGCGATAATCAAACGCTATTGTTCTGTAGACATCTTGTTGATACGAAGTTGCGTCGATTATGATGAAATTATTATTTCAAAAAGATAACATGCTATAAATCAATGAATTGAAGTCTTTATTATCTTCGTATAAAGTTTAGAAAAACATTTTACTGTAATACTAAAATATCAAGCGTTCATCTTAAAATAAGATAATGTTAATCAAAATTAAACATTGATCGAAATGTTACAAGCTTATTTTTCGTAAATAAAATACATTTTACTATTCCTTCTTTATTATTTATTAAATAAGCAACATTTCGACCTTATGAGACACAATCTCGATTGGCTTTGATTTGAAATTATAATGATTTGCTAGCTATTATAATTATCTTAATATTATTTATAAATTATACACAAATTATTTATTGTATTCTAGACTTTAGAAAGCTGTAATATACCTCAAGAGTCCAGTTTGTTTTTACTACATATTTTGCTGCGTCCATCATTAGCATCATGGTCAATTAAAAAAAATCACACTGGTCGATGACAAAAGGCCACAGCTCACAAGCAAAGTCAGCAAACAAACAAACAAAAAATCTAGAACTAGCAAACTATATATAGTTCGTAGTGAAACAGTACAAAAAGCACTTGGCCGAGCTGTAGCGTGAGGGTCCACGAGTGAGAGGGAGAGAGAGAGAGAGAGAGAGAGGTAGTAGCAAGTAACCGGGTTACACGAAACGCAATTAGCGCCTCCACTAATTTCTCAGCGTCGACACTCGCTCGGGCTCTCGCAAATGATATAATTCAGTATTAATAGGCAAATACAAAGCCTCTCGCTCACTCACTCACTCACTCGCGTGTGTGTATATATAGTCCCTTGACTATCATCTGGGCGCGGCCGTTTCCCTCTCTCTATATCTTGCCCTTCCGCCTCTATACACGTCGGCGGTCCGCTTTCAATGCGCGACGCGTGAATATTCAACTCGAGCCGATCGTCGGGGCTTGCTGCTGCTGCTGCAACCTCGAGAGAGGATTAATTTATTGTATAATGTCGAGCAATATTCGAGGGAGTTGAGAGATAGAGATAGAGAGAGAGAGAGAGAGAGAGGTGTTGTAGTATCACCCCCTTCCTGTAGCAAAGCTATAGTTCCGTTGCATTCAAGCTATAGCTGTGTGACGATAATTTTCATCCCGAATAAAAAAAAGAAGATAAATTAAAGTAGGCGCTAAATATGCACAGCTTCACTTATATTTTCGATTATAGCGTCGACGCAATTCAAAATATTTATTAAAGCAACAATTATGGGAATGTTATTGAACGTGCGGTGGTGTGTAGTATATGCTATTGGTATGCGAGCTTATACGTTGTTATTCCAAGTATTTTCGTAGCTAATTTAGCGATCGCAAGCATGATTTAATGAAGAGTATGCGTTTGCTCGACGTGTGTATACATGATGATGGTTTCTCTAAAATTTATACACCGTTTCAATGAAAATATATACTTGGCTGTGATTGAGTTCCGAAAATTAATCGGTTGCACAAAAATAAGCAAACAGATGAAACATTAATGGACTCTAACTTTCATTATTCTCGAGGTATAGTGCAAGCATGTAAATAATGATTGTTATTGCACGGCAAGTGTAAACCGACAAAGATAATAGAGCGCGCATAGTTTCCCCCGCAGACAAGACAAACACGCACACACATACGCGCAGAGTGGTGACCACGAGGTATTCAGACTCTTGTTTAGATCTCTCAGTATTCTCTCCCCCCCCCTCTCTTATTCCCCCCTCTCTCACTCCTCTCTCTCCAAGTCAAAGGGTTGTTGCTGCAGAGGGTGGTCGTATGCGGAGACCAGCAAACGCGATTCCGCTCGCAGTTCCCTCGAACAATGAGTGGGGAATTTCGATGTTGCGCGTGAGATATGATTCGCTCGCCCTCGTCGTCGTTACAATATTGACAATGGAATTATTGTAGCTATGTACGTGCGACGATAAATGCGAGCTGTAATACGCTTGTAATGGAATTCAAGAAGCATTTACGCAACGCGAATTCGAGAGTAATGTTGGCTTTCTTAGAAGAAATGGGATACTTTGATACCATAGTAACTTAGCACAGATGTCATTGAGGAATTATATCTTGACAAAGCATAATTAAATTCTTTTAATACTACGAATTATCGAGTAGAAGTGCTTCGACGAATTTCTGTTGAACTGTTCGTGCCAATGTCATTGACTTGTACATTTAACGACAAACATAATCATTAGCAGATAAACGATGTGTCTTTCGATCTAGAATTTACAAGAATTCGCAATACAGCAGTTTTTAACAGAAATCAAATACTTTTTTCACAGAAAGGAGGACGAAAATGCATTGACAATAGTAAAACTCGGCGAGTCACACACAGCTGCACGCACGCTATTCTCTCTGTGTCTTTTAATCGGCCAATCCGAGCTCCACAGCCTCGGCGGCGAACCGCACAATTTCGCATGTGATATGCGCTGCGTAGAGAGAGCAAAAGAGAGATAGAGAGAGAGAGAGAGAGAGAGAGAGAGAGAGGGAGGCACTGGGGGACGCACGTCCATGCAGGAAATCCATTTTGCGATGGCCGAATAATATTTGACGAGGGCTCGATGCGCAGATGCGGTCGCTGGATGCGCTTAGCCACAAACACGTCCCTATTGCTCTCTCTTTCTCTCTCGCTTGTGCGCGTGCACACCTGAATTTGCGGATTTTCGCAAATTAATTCGACCAATGATTTTCCTTCAATTGCTTCGCTTTACTTTTTTTATTAAACAAACAAGTACTTTCAATGTTTAATTATTTTGATTTTTGAACCGGTTTCTTACTACTATATGTATTATATTAGTGGTAAATTGTAATTTCGGACATAATAAAACAAAACGACTTTTCAAGAACTTTGATATTGAATTTTTCAAATAGTTTTGATGCATTCAAAACAGGTGAAATCTTTTGTTTAATTTATTGGTACCTTTTCCAATGTTCCAATTTTATAGTCATCGAGTGCTGTTAAGCTTCCTTTCTTGACCACTAAGACGGCGCACCAATATCGTAAACTGTCGCGCATGCGTCGCGAAGTAGCAATATTATCGAATTAAGATATTAAGAACAGAGCGAAGAGCAAGAGCGTCCCTTCAAAATTAGTGTGTAAACTTCGGGGCAATACGGACCATTTAGAGAGGTATCCAGACAATTTAGGTAAATGTACTTCCAAAGTTTCTTTGCACGCGTTGAAAATATAAATGTATTTTAATATTCGCTGTGAAATCCACGCGTCACCAATACAGTAGTGATTTCAACAAATAATGACGAAACGATTTTTTTTATTTTAATTTTTGACTGAGTATTTCTAACCACGAGCGAACGTATATCGTTACAGTTTATATAGCAATTTAAAAACCGTGAAAGTTGACGAAATTTCGAGTACAACTGAGCGCTTTTCACAATGGAAAATATAAAAACAATATAGCAACGTCGCAGTACACAAATCCTTGGGTTGAAATGCAAACGTATTAAAATCGAAGTATCTTGCTTCGTTATTTAATCCGCTGAATCACAGCTTTCAATGAATAGAACGCAATTTGAAATTTTTATACGTATTATTAGAAAAGTTCACGTTGTACATTAGAATACTTATTTATATTACTTATTTATATTATATTACATTAGAATAATTCATAAAAAATAAAAGAATGAAAGTGACTATGTCGGTTACTATCGAATTTACCTTACCGTTTTGAAGAGATAATTGCAGAAAACTATAGCATCTTCTCTTGCTGATGCAACGTTGACAAATATCTATATTAAAATCGCATAAGTGACAATTACTTTATATAATTGATACATCACCGACGGAGAGAACGCATATGATGAAAACCTTTGTGTCATAGCGATAATTAATCTCCTAAATAAATTATAAGAGTAATTAGACTAAAGAACCTCTACGTACAAATTTTCGTTTACTTTATTTTATCTCGCATAGTTGATATGGCAGTAACTTGTACATATCAGTTATTTTTGTTCGTTAACTCACGCACACATGATCAGTATCCAATCGTGTAATCATGTATTCTTAATGACTAAATAAATTTAGTTATATACATATCATCATTCGAATTCTAATCTTGTGAATTTAAAGAAAATAATAGATAATTTTCTGCAGGAAAGAAAGGTGATCACGCAGTGTTTATGGAACTAAATAAATATTTTTAATCTGGAATAAATCTAATTCATAATACTATTTTTTAAGAAGGGATTATCAATGTATTATTAATATTTCTTACAATCGATTATATAGTGATTTCCAGATAAGGTGATCTATATAAATTTAATGAAATATTCATTTTGTTGTCAGCAGAGAATTCTAGGAAGAAACTCTAGGATATTTGTTAAAGTACATCAGCATGTCGGTGAGTAAATTTATAGTATATTATACCTTGCTTTAATCAACTTAACAGTAAATTATAAACAATAACAGTAACATTTTTAGTATAACTATACTTATTTCTTGTAAACATTTGTTTGATGATAAATAGAATAGTAGTTTGCTATATAGTTGCTCAAATAAAATATTTTGAATGAAATTAGATTTCAGATTAGCACGATTTCGTTGAGATCATTAGACAATAATTATTGATACAATAACCTATTGACTATTGATTACAGAACTTACACGAGGAGGAGCTTTGTGATGAACTAGAAAAGTTAATGACACTCGGAAAAAGTGAAGATGGCGTTTACAGTATTGATGATTTAGATCCCAATACAGTAATTGATGATCGTGGAACAACTTTACTTCATTTAGCTATAAAATATAACAAAATATCAATGACTCGCTACCTCATACTATCGAAATGCAACGTGAATGCTCAAGATGATAATGGAGATACGCCGTTAATACTTGCTTTGTATAATTATCGACTTGATCATGCAGATTTACTGATCAAAGCAAATGCTAATATTTATCTCACAAATAATTCTGGGGAGAGTGCGGTGGAAATCGTGTTTGGTAAGAAAAGTTTCAATTTTAATCAGCTTAGCGACATCATTATCGAAAAAATACGTTTTGAGCATATTGCCGACGAAAAGTTGGCAATACTTCTACAAAAGTGTAACTGCCCCATTTATCAAGCGGTCAAATTTAAAAGACCCACCATGGTAGAAAAGATGCTTGAGAAAGGTTGTGATGTGAACGCGTTTGATGCCGTAAATGGTACAACAGCCTTACATATAGCAGTAGGATTACATGATGTGAAGACAATACAAATTTTATTATACTATGGAGCCGACATTAATGCTTTCGACCGGAACGGTGCTATTCCTTTCGATTTAAGCGTTAATGACTCATCTAATGTTGGTTTAGCAATGATGCAACTTTTAATGCCAGAAAAAATGAAGTGGACAGATCAATGTGCAAAAAATCGTGGCAGACTCAAATTGTACTGGATTTTTGTCAACGGTTGCAGGTTGGCATTGCAATTACTTTTATACAAGTATGATATTGATCTCAACGCCAAGGATGCCGATGACAATACTGCGTTGCATTATCTCGTACAAAATAAGAATTGGGATAGTTTTGAACTTTTCCGATACAGACAATTACAGGTAAATGCAACTAATAATTTAGGAGAGACAGTCTTACACACTGCTATTATAAAAGGTGCTCCGATCTACACTATACAGATTTTATTAGAGAAGGGTGCGAATACGAACATCGAAGCTAGAAATTATAACGATTTGACACCACTTTTTTGTATTTGCAATCATCAGAGAGAAAAGCTAGAAGAGAACCGCGAGATCGTCGACTTGCTCTTGAAATTTGAAGCCGACGTGAACAAAAGTGTCAAGATTTGGAGGACTTTATTGCACTATTTAGTACATCGAAAAATGATGACGGCTCTGGAACTTTTAAATAGTGCCAACTTTAATTTAAATACTTTTGACGATAAATATCGGACGGCTTTACATATTGCCGTAGTGGACGGTAATTCTAAGATCGTTAAATGGCTGCTACGTAAAGGCGCTAATGTTAATCAGGCTTATGCTGGAGATGATATGCCTTTATTCACCATTTTTTCAAAGAAATCAAGGGAATTAAAAATGCTGAAATGTATTTCAATACTTTTAATTTATGGAGCGCGATTGACAGTCAAGCAAAAATATATCTACGGGGACGTAGATAGAAGATTAACCGCGATAAGTGTCATCGACGTTGCTGAGAAAAATGGTGCGCTTTCCTTGCTGTCACCTGTTTTAGCTCATGTAGCTATACTTAAAGAACTCGGGCGACCAATAGATGAACGAGTTCTCTTTAAAATTAATGAAATTACTCAACTGAGAAATCAGTTAGATGAATTTCAACAGTGGCTCAATAAAGCTAAAGCTATCGTGATTCGTAAAAATATATCCTTGTTTACCATTTTGACTGATAGTCCAAAAGCTATCGCTAATTATTCTTCGCCAAGCGCAATATTTAAAAAGACATGGGATACTTATAGTAAGGACATGAATATATATTTCAAATGTATTCTTCAACATGGCTATTTTTTTGCGCAACAAATTGACAACCAAAGAAGAATAGCATCTCGTGTCATAAGCGAAACCATTGGATTGTTTGATCCAAATCACATTGTTGCACACAAAATTGTTAGTTTCTTGAACTATAAAGATTTGAATATGTTTTAGTGATACTCTTGTATCGTTATGTAAATGTAATGTGAAATTCATCTATTGATTATGTATTGTATTATTTTGTACTATCTAAGTGTTTGTGTAAATTGAGAAAACATGATTTACGATGATAATTTCCAACTTATTTTTTATCCTGAATTTGAAGAATTGAATAGACACTTGTGAAATAGAGGGTATTTTTATTTTCCATAACAATCAGTTCAACAAATAGTGATGTCTTGCTGTTGCTGTTGTTGTTGTTGAAATATTGGTTGTATATCTTTGATTTTCTCGCAGCAAAACAACACATATCTAGTAATTAAAACAATCGACGGTAATTGCGAATTATTGATAGGATTGCGATTTGCCTTATAATTTCAAAAATGTTATAGCATTGAATGAATGTATACTCGTAAAAATGTTATTTTTGTAGTTGATAAGTGATTTTCGATCAATTGAACGGAGCTAAATTTGAATCTAACTTTGTTTAGATAGAAAGAAACGATACTTATTACTAAAATAAATTAAGCTAACAATTAAATTGTTAATTAGGTATTTTGCAAATCAGTTGATGAAATGTAGCGATGTTCTCGGTGAATGTAAGCTCACAGTATCCAGCACGAAATCTACTTTAATGGTCTTCGCTAATTACCAAGCTCGTGTGCTCGTTCCGTCGTTAGCTTTAACTTTGATTAACTTCCTCGGGGCGTCGTCGCTTCGATACGATTGCGATTCGCGCATGGGAGAGAGAAAGAGCGAGAGAAAAAAGAGCGAGGACGATCGACCATTTTCGGCGTCCCTTCGAATTTCCGTGTCACAGAGTCGTGCGCACGCAAGGGAAATAGAGTGCGAAGCTGTGTAAAGCGCAGTGGGCAGGATGCCTGCTATTCGATTTTATGGATGAGCGTCGTATACATGCTTGTCGGTCGCACAATATTTTTCGAACAAGGTTGTGTCTAGTTTTACGGTACCATTCAATATTCCACTGAGTTCGCGAAAGGTTTTACAATCTCGCTATTGTCGTGTTTTATGACTTCGAGTGAAATATACATGTTCAATCCAACTTTTGTTCCAGTTTTGAGACAGTGAAGAACTGACTAGATCGCACGACACTGTGTACTTTTCATAATGATATCATTTAGACGTTACATCTCTCAATGGCTAGAAACTAAATCATGATAAACTAAATTATTTCCTGGTATCAATGATTCTACTGTACTGAGATTACGCAATTCTCCATAAACAGTTATAAAGTCAAAGTTGTGATTACTTTCACAATGACTTCGATATTGAAATACTAGTCCAAAATAGTTAGTTGATTTTCTATGCTACGACAAATAAAACAAAGAAATTCACACTTATCGTAAGGAAGTAGCATGTTCTCGTCACATAATAATGCTAAACCAACTCCTGACAAAGCAAACAAACAAACACAAACGTACGTACTCACGTGCAACGCAGTGTTTTCAGAAAATAAAGCCAGACATTTGCTTTGGTGAATTCGGAAAGGGTCCCAACATCTAATTACAATCCAACAGGGTTCACGTGTCAAAGCAAACTCTCTCTGCTCTCGAAGTTGCCGATGTTTCTATGAGCCTGAAAGCACTCGCAGACACAATGAGATTATCTGGAACGCGCGCGCGCGCGAGTTGCGAAATAAAAATACGAGAAAAAGAAAGTTTGGGAGCGAAGCTGGTATGTGGCCAAAGGAAAGAAAGTGCTTTTTACTGCTCCTCTTCGCAAGACATACACGCACGCGCGAGCCTCCACGTGAAAATTCCATCTGGCGAGATAGAGAGATAGATAGCATTTCTCTTCTATACGTCGTGATGCGAGCGCACCAAGAACTTTTACTTCTTTTTTCGCTTTTTTTTTGTCTATCGTTCGTGTGTTTTCTGGACGTTACATGCTTTTTTTTAATGTTCCGGGGTTCTCGGTAAGATGTTCTTTTTTGTGTTGCGATCTCGATGGAATACTTTTCAATTGATATTTTTATAATTACTTTGCGGTTGTGTACGTTTAAAAAAGTTCACGAATAAAAGTGGTTTTCTATGCAAATTTTGGCAAATTAATCAATTGCTTTCATTTCATAACAGATTTTATTAATTTTTGAATAATGTGAAAAACAATGATTTCAATTTCATTTAAGAAATCCTTCACATTTCAAATCACAAAGAAAATGAGTAAAAGTACTGAAATATCACTGTTTGTAAAAGCAAAATATTATGTAAAGATATACAATGAATAACACAGTTTACTAAAAATCTGAAAAAGCAGTTGTAAGATAACTCGACTTTATAAATATTAATTCAAAATCGTATCACAAGTTGCATCTCATTTTGGAATATGCGAGGAACATTTACTTGCGTAGTTCAGTGCATTTAAATAATGATTTAATATTTGGGTAAAAACAGTTTTGAGCTAAATAAAAGTATTTTTTGCAATTGACCAACATGTAATAATGGTAAATTATTTTTCAAGAATACTATCTTAAGCACTTTAGATGGTTATTCAGTTCTATCTGAAATAATAAATTATACCTATGAAAATGAAGGTATTCTCTAACGGTTTTGTAACAACGCTCTGCATATACTTACAGTGGTGCCGTTATTATCTATTGTTTACATGCTGTGGCGCATAGGTTCACGTAAACCATATTTACATGTTCTCCTTTACAATTGTATTCGGTTCTAAATTATAATCAAATGATATTCCACATTGTCACGAAAAAACAAAGCGACGACATTCCATTTGAAACACTTCAATATTAACAATGGTATTATTCATTGTAATGTTTGCGAATACAAATTCCACATATGAGAATATAAGGTATTGTCGTTACTCCATTTACATTTCAGATAAGCTATACATACGCGTTGTACAATGTATACTGTTATGTATTGTAGTCGGTTTCGTACAGAATACACATACATACGTACGCTATTTCACGAGGCGTAAGTTTTAGAATAGAAACGCTATTATATCGGAGAGCTTTGAAAAACATATGGGAACACGAGATGTCGGCGAAAGGGGATTACAAGGACGAATCGGCTTTAGGTGAATCCGATGCTACGAGTTTGTCCGACGATCTCTCTCGATAAATAATCGCGATTTATTATCGGTGAAATTTCGCATGGGCGAGCGCTACGCGCTACTCGACTAATTGATCACGATTAATCCGATTATTCCCATTCCTCCCGTAGTTTGCACAAAGAGGAATGGCCATTCGAGCATGTATATATATACATATATATATGTATATATATACATATACATATATGTGGAATCTCGCGCGCACGTCGCGTCGTCGATGGACTTTGCTTAATGGCGGAAACACGAGTTTCGTGTCACTGGAAATATGTCTTGTTCAAAATATGCCTCATCGTTTTCAGATTTGCGTGATGATGAATTGCAATTGGGAGCTGAATTGATTGGTTCTCGTAATAGACAGGTTTGTTCATTATAACGATTGATGTATGGTTTTGCTGTCATTGATTATATTTGAAACTAGAAAGCTTGTTGTTACCAAACGATATTGTTGAACATTTTTACCAGTCCAAAAAAACATTTTTCGCTCATAAAATAAAAACTACAACTACCGAATAAAGAGACGAAATCGTGAAACTGAAAAGAAATCGTTGTTTCATCCATTATTGACAACGAAAGTGTATATACTGAACACACCAGTGAGTAAGCCTATACTTCAATCCCATACTTTACATCTCTTCGAAAAGTTTAGCAAAAATATCTTCAACAAAAAATATCCAACCTATACGTCCATTTCGCTACAGTTCGGGTTTTAGTTTTGACGTTTGTAGAATCAATACATCGCCGTTCGATATATTTTTACAAGTCGAAAGCTTGTATTGCCAGCATTTTTTACGGCATCGAATTATCGCAAGCTAAAGCTGAAAAAAAGACAACGAGCAAAAAAATTCCACAGCAAGATATAAAATCCGCTCGGTTTCTCTCTGCATACGCGGGCGTGTATGCCTGCGCGCTCCATCGAGCCGAGATTTCAACCAGGGGAGAGATGCTCGCGAGTCGAGCTTAATGCCGCGTTAATATCCGAAATAACAACACAACGCGTGCAGGTTGTCATAACGTCTCGCCTGTGCGCGCGTTCCGACGCGATGAATCGTTGCTTAATCCAAGATTTATCAGGTCGACGTCCGTGTGCATCTGGATGCTTCGCTCTTTCTCTTTTTTTTCTGCTCGCCACTGGAAATCCGTTTCTTTTTTTTCGTTTTTTTTTTCGAAAGGGCATTAAGTATCTAGTCCGCTCGTGCGTCTATAGATGCCTCGTAAAAAATCGTAAAAGCTTTGCTACTCTTGCGCATAAAAATTGATGAGTCGTGAAGCGGATGTTTCATTGATCGACATTATTTTGTTTCTCTATATTTGTTTACTACTTTCCCAGCCGTTCTATTTTTATAGGTTGAGGAGGAATTAAAAAAGTTTCGTATCGATCAATTGGTGAATATAATTAGAATTCATAGGCGAGCTTTTGAGAAAAAAATCTGCAATTTTTATTACTAGTGTTATTTAGCGCGCTTCGCGCGCTTTTTTTAAATGTTTTACTATTATTTATTACATTATTTGAACCTTTTACATGTCAACTTCAAGATTTCAATGGACACGAATAAGTCATGTTGTTTAAAATAGACTACATACATCAATATTTATTTATGGATAAAAATAGAACATGCACCCATTTTTTCTCAAAAATTGATGAACTTTTACTCATTTCAAGATATATCGGAAAAATTATTCAAAAGATTAATTCGACCTAAGATTAATAATGCCATTATACTATTATACTATTATACAACACTAAACTTACATATTCAATAATAGTGATTACGGCTCCAATCTTATATTAGTATGAGTAATACATTTAACATCGTGTACTTTTTGCTGCCACTATGAAAACACCCGTGAATATTCTTATAATTTAACGGGTTTAATATTTTGATAATTAATTTCCTTTGTTCGTATACATTTTAATTTAAAATATACAAAAGATAAATATGTAGTCTCTATTTTATTTTTATTCATTCTCTTTTTCTTTCTACCAAATTTTAACACAACGATATTGATTGTAGTATCGGAGATGGTTATAAAATTAACAATTTGTACAAATAATTTTAAAATATAACGTATTATGTTCTTAAACCAATTTACTAACATATTTCCATTTTTGCAGTTTATTATCCATGTTAATTATTCATAAATTGAATTTATCGCTAAAACAGAAATCTTACACTCTTTGATATATAATAATAATAATATTTCAAAGTATAGGAAAATTCAAAATTTCGCGTTCTATTTTTGCACAACGCTGGATGTCAGCGACTCATCTTTTTTTAAAGATAAGATAAGAATAAAATATGTAAAAAGTATAAAAATAAAAAAAAAAATAAATATAAGGCAAGGATAAGGATAGGATAAACCATCAGCTGCACCTAACAATTTAATTTTGTTTCTTTTTTAACGTATTGGTTCGTGGTATCAAGCTTTCCATAGGATTTCTCCATATCAACAGATATGTTATTTTAATTTAACTATTTTTTCCATTGTTCATCTGAAACCATTTGGAGAGTTTGTTTACATTAATAAATTAAATTTCAAAATTTATTTAAAATAAATTAACGGTGCCGACTGCACTGAAATAAATTCGCAGAATTTCATATAAAATATCAATTTACCATTCTTCTCAATATTGATCATATTTATCCAAAGCTAAACTTTACAATAAAGATATATTCAAGTAATTTATATGTCCAATAAATAAATGCAATTGAAGTGCATTAAGATTACTTTATCGTATTTTTTAAAGGTTAGGCCATAGAGAAAATGTGGAAGTCATTTACAGTTTAATGCTTACAAATTATTATACTTATTTGTATTAATAGATGTAAAGTACTTCGATTTATTATTATGACCGATTTACTCATAATTGTGACACACATGACGAAATTCAGTCTATCAGGTCATAAATAAAATTACTTCACTCAGCATCACTTTTTCATATAGGAAAATAAAAATATATAGGTTTAGATAAACTTTACGCGTTTTTACCTTCTTTTTTATTTCTTATTGTTATATCAATATTAACATATTTAACAAATACCTTTTTTCAAAGGTAGATTTTTCAATTTTTTTTAAAAACCCATATCACAGCGGAAAATGTGTATTAGTGATGAAACACGTTTTCAATTTTATGATTTATTATGTCAAAAGCTGCAATAAATATAATCTCATACTATTTTTTTCTCAACGGGTTAATTTATTATTAAACTTTTATTCTACTTTTTGAATAAAGATTGCAACATTACAACTTTTATTTTACACATTCAAAAACCAAATTTTCGATTATTAATAGAAAATATTTAGAGCAATTTCAACCTATATTATTTGTATGAAACGATTTCTTCGTTGTTAGTTTCATATTATGAGTGTATAAACAATATTACAGTCTACTTTTTTACTTCCTTATCTTCAAAATTATCCGTATGATAAATTATGATGATTTGAATTTTTATTAGTAAAATCTCCATGCAAAACCACACCTATATGCTTATTTTCCGCCACATAAGTATATCACGCAATTATATCTCTGTCATCAGATCACTATATGTTTCAACGTGGCATCCATCGCTTTTTCATAAGGGATAAAACTGATAAACAATGAACTACATTATGATTATAAATGATGAATGAAAGATTATATTTTTTATATTTTATTTTTTTGCTAAGAACAAATTAAATTAAATCTGAAATAGAAAATCAACTAAAATCAATTTGAATTCTCGCGGTTTTATTCATTTGGGCCAATCAGGTCACGAATAAAATGCTTCAATATGGCTTCCATCACTCTTTTATAAGGGGATGAGAACTTTACGTAAAAAAGAATAGAATATAATAGGATAGAGAAGTTATTTTCTTGGCATTCATCAGAAACAATAACATTGAATTAGTGTTCTTGATAAGTTATTGAAAAAAATGGTGTCAGACATTTCACCGATGAATGCTAATAGATACAGTTATAATTTCAAACAATGTCACCCTCCACAAAAGGTATATTGTAAAAATCATATAAAAAAGTATCTATTCATTAATATCATAATACAGTCTGCAATTCACTTGAACATGTTACTTCCATTGAAGAGAGAGTTATTATTTGCTGAAACAAAAAGTCTTTTATTTATTGATGCCGCCTTTCTCTCTAAAACTTTGTTTACGATGTAAATGCTGAATTAGTATATTTTCTGTAGTCAATTCTATAGTCAACTAATCAAATAAATAAAATATTTATTCCTCACGGCAAAAATTGATGTGTAATTGATTATTTATTCAGGGATATTCAACGGTGTCCTGCGGGAGCTGTAGAGCTGAGTGCACCACTTTCACTGCGTGCATCGCTTCGCTTCGCGCTTACCATCCCACGCAATCTACAAACTTGAATTTTCGTTCAAGATTCATTCGATCATATAAGATTTGTATCGACAACTTTATTTCAAACTTTGTATCAAATTTCATTAACGTGTACTCTTAGTGTATACCATTTTTGAAATCAGGTTCTCAGTCATTTGTAATATATTCTATGCAATTGATTTTTTTAAACCACTCTTCATAAAACATGAAGCAATGGACTTCTAAATTAATTTTTATCGAAATTCATTCGGAAAAAATACTGAAAAAATTCATACCAGTATGTGAGGTTGTTAAGCTGAACGTAGAAATTCGAAAGTTTCCTTACTTTTCTTCAACCATTGAACATTTTTAAATCATAATTGAAATAACGCAGTGCATATAAATATTAAGATTACGAGCTGATTGAAAATTGCAATAAAAAATCAATGGATTGACG